CTAACTTAGCATTAAAATCTTCAACAATGATCGTTCTGTCATATTTACATAACTTTTGGAAGGTTCTGGTTAGTTTATCATAAAATTCATCCTTGATATCACGATTTTTTCCTCTGTCGGTGCATGACTACATATTAATGATGTGTTACAGAACCTTCCCTTAATTCGTAACACACATATCCTTTCATTAACAGGTACAAAACACAAGATTGAAGATTTTAGGCTCTTATGAACAAGAAAATCAGTACCGAATTTGTTCCTTTTATTGCTTCCAGTGCAGCAGATTGTGTATTCTCCTAGGTCATTTATCCCTCCCCCTTTCCATCTAATCTCTTGAATTGCAGCAATTTTTATCTTATATTTGTTGAGCTCATTCATTAATTGTTTCACTGCACCAGGCGTGTACAGACTACGTACATTCCATGTAGCAAAATAGGTTATTGTGTCCGTTTTCTTTTGCCAATGTTGTCTTACAGAATCCGTCCTGCCATCACATTTAGGTTTCTGAATCAGTTTATTTCAGAGTTGAGGTGATTAGCCGCCAGCCTTCTAGTTTTGATTTTGGGGTTTCACCACACCTATGAGCCCCCGCTGCCCTATCACTTGGAGTACTTTTTAGTCTGATCCCTACCCTTTGACCTGTCTGGCAAGGGAGGCCCTACCAGTAGCAACGCTACCACCGGCATAGCTCTCCGGGTCATGGGGATACGCAAACTCCATCACCCATGTTAAGGTCCTGTACTCCCTAGGTGGAGAAACAATGTTCATAAAGCAAGAAAATTTAATTTTCCTTAAGGTGATGTGATGCCCCCACTTTGACTAACCTTCTGCATGCAGGTGGTAAGTACAATTAGCATTTCTCTGCTTATAAAACAGACCTGATTTCTGAGCCATTAAGCAGTGACTGTTACTGAAGCAAGATGATATCAGCTCAACACAAGTTCACTATCACTTTCTTTGTCTTATTCTTAACTGTGTACAAACTTTTACAGTTATGAACAGCTGATATCTAACTGTAAAATTCATAAATTCAGCCAAGTCTTCATTGATGTTACATAAGATTCTTGTAACAGAATTATTGTCGATCTTTTCTTTTTTTGAAGAATTCATAACAAATGGTTGAAGAAGATTATAAAAGGTACAGATTTTGTTATCCCTGAACTAAGGCAATCAAAAATGTTTTTTCCAACAGTATTGATCTGTCTGTGATGGTTCACCGTGTTCTTGAATGCCTTTTCAGAACAATGGTCTAGCAAAAGCAAAGTGTTACCAATGCTTAATCATTACCTTCATATTTTACCCCTAATCCTTTGCGAATCGTTATGAAAGATTCATGATTCAATACAGGGGCGTAGATCCAGTACAGATCCTCGATGTCATTCTTCATCTTCATGAATGTTTTCAAGGACATAATCACTAAGACCAAGAAGGAGACAGGAATACACATTAAGCTGGATGTTAGAGAAAAAGGGTTGTGATGAACTGAACTGGGTCTGAGCTGCTTCCAGTGGCAATCTTAAGTGTTAGCAATCCTCAGTGTTCTGCTTCTAGTACCACAGCTAGTGAGTATCATCTCTTTCATAAGTCCTGTCACACGGAACTTACGTAAAATGTTGTTTTGTCAGCAGGATAAACTAATGTAGTCCTGCTGTGGTACACTACAGTACTTGCCCCCTGAAGCAATGAGGGGACAGGGCACAGCATGGTAATTATATTCATTCCATGAGGATGTAAAAGTAATGATACAGTTTAATTTAATTGAACCACCAGTTGTTTCTGAATCTGATGCAGTCTGCCTGGTATCTGGTTGATTGGCTAATGCATATTTGTAAGAAAGTGGAATTTAAAACACAAGCACTGGTGATACACAGCAGTACCCATTAACCCTTCTTAATTCTTCGTCTGTTCGTCTGCTGTTGCAAGAAAAATTAGCTGTAATTCTTTATGTTGGCTCCATTACTCTTCAAAATATAGAGGAAGATAATATCATCTGAGACTCAAACTGAAATTTAAATGTTAAATATAGTGTGACATTCACACAGAACAAAATTTGCTACAACTTCTTTTGATAAGAAATGTAATTAAGCTTGCAGCAGTGAAATAAGTTCATACCGGAGTCATCAATCATAAGCATGTCAACAACTGAAATTTTAAAAAATACCAGTTGGCTTGTTTGTTTGTGTTAGTTGGTTGTCTGTCCATCCACACTGAAGATCCCAGGATCAAATTTTCATTGTATTTGTTAATAATGCAGACTCATTTGCTGAGGGCATCAATGTCAAATGTAAATACAGAATGATTTTGTAATATTAAATGAAAAGTAAAGTTAAGAAAGCAACTTTTAACTTACAAATAAGAAATATACAAGGAAAACTGTAGAAAACTGAGCATAGTTTATGTCTGGCTACAATTACTATGTCACCTTGATTTATGAAGAAAGCAACTGTATGTTCTTAGAAATGTTCCACCTGAAATTGGATGCAAGAAATAAACAACTCTGTTTGTTCATATCCTTAATTTTTCTGTTTCTGGAGGCCGTTTGAGAGTCTGTGGGGGAAGGTGTAAAGAAATTAAAATGGCTGATTGCAGCTGTTGTCCCAATTTGGATTGTTGCAGGCACCTGATTGGTGGAGCTGTGCGGTTTTGACGCACGAAATGCTGTCAAGAGCTAAGCCTTTTGAAGCAGAAGGAGAAAGCAACCAGCAGATGATATTTGAGTGAGTCTCAGTGTTTGGAAACAGATTGGATATTTATGTTCCCTGGGAACAGCAAGTTTTTTAAACAAGTTCTAAACAAATTAGTTTGGCCCTAACAAAGACCCATTTAATGTATGTTGTCTGTTTTAATGCCAGTGAAGTAGGTGCATTTACATGTGGATAGTTAACTTTAAGAAGAAAACAAATTGCAGGCAGAAAACTACCTGATGGCCAACAGGAAATAAGTAATTATGTTTATATAGGGAATAAACAATTTAAGGGACAGGGAAGGAAACGGTTCCCAAAGCAAAGCACACTTAAGAACAATATTAGCTTCTTTGGAGACCTAAATTAAATTAGCCATTTATCATGAAAGTGACAAAAATGAGAAACACTCTTTGGAGTTTAATTTGAGATGTATCTTTCCAATGGGAGAGAAATGAATTAAATCTTCTTTTGCAGTCTAATTCTGAAAACAGATGTGGTTATGCTCGAACACTTCCTACCATGAGTGGCAAATCTCATAGTGAGTGACACCAAAATACATTCAGGTGATGGAAGAACAAGTGCCGAAGAAATTAAAGAAGCATCCATTCAACACTGTAAGTTTTTTCACACATCTGTTATCATAAAATATAAATCTAAGCAGGACAGAAGGATGATCAGATAATTTAAATTTTAAAATAATCCAGAAGACTGAAGAAAAAGATGAGGGTAGCACTGATAATGCCATATTCTTTCCAAAACCAATAATGAAGGCACTCTGAAGAAACTGATTTAACAAAATGTAGAAGGGGCTTGGTCAGGAAGTGTGATTCATTCTGCTACATAATGAGTTGACAGCTGATAAAATGAAGCATTCGGAGGGGAGGATGCTTGTTAAAACAGAATGTTAGATAACCGAAGGTCAAGTAATTGGGGCCCTACTGTATTAATAAGAAAACCCAGTGCATAGTTTTAAGGCATTCTGTAGTGTTTGTAGATTTTTTTAAATTTCAGTAAACAAAAAGTGTGGTTTACATTCCCAACAGCTGGCTGGGCTATCTGTAGGATGGGGTGAGTGTTTAGGATCCCACTTTTTGACATTATGAAGCATTATATGTTTCATGCTGAGTGACAAATAGATAGAAAATAAACACAAAGCATATTAGTTTAATTGTAATCATAGGATAGAGACAAGAGTATATGTACAGTGTAAGTAAAGTACAGTAAAACTTGCAGATACCGATCTTATGGAATGGACCCACATAGAGTGCTTTACCCAGGCACTGTATACCTCTGGGAATGGCTCCTCCTAATGAAACATCTCGTGTGCAGTGGATCTGGAAACACTGGCAGTAGGTACATAGTAGAATTAAATTAACAGGCTTAGGAAGATACTGCAAAACTTGCAGAGAGATCAGAATTTCATAAGAAACTTGTCAGTACATGACCACACAACTTGAAACTTCCCTCTCAGTAAATGTGACATTGCAAAACACTTACAGAGAGCACCAAAATTTATATTCACACAGAAGACTTCATTTCATGATCCTTGTACATACTCTCTTGATGACTGGAAGGTCTTTTAAACTGAGGTGCTCTATTGCCTGGTTTGCCAGGCTTCAGTCTGCACTAAGCACTCTGTTCCATACCATTAAAGCTTGTGATTTGTACTGCAGGACACCGCATGGGATGATATCAGGGCAAAGTCGGTACTTCTGCCGTACTTCCCGCTTCTCGATGACAACATTGTTGGTGATGATGAAGACTAGTTTGGTGTTGATGCTCCGAGCACTCAGTCTCGCAAGACTGATGACACTTTCAAGGTCAGAACAAGAATCTGCAACATTTTAATATTTGTTGCATGAGAATAAGATTTATTTCTGGTCATTCTGTTACTGTTAGAAAAGGTGCTCTACCTGAGGGCCATGTTGCCTTCAAGTTACATAATAATGTAAATGTTGCTGTTCTGATTAGGCCTTGGCTGATATTTGTTCACTGTAACTCTGGTATGGTGCACAAAGTAAGATTCACCATTCACACTGCCTTATATATTAACTTGGTTCATGCATATAAATGGCAGGTACTAGCAGAACAATGGTCATGACTGTGAACTGTTGTCTGATATCAGTAACATAATGGGTTGTCAACATCTTGAAGTACATTGTTTTCTACAAGCCGAGAATTTACTCAGCTAGTCCAGACATTAGCCATATCTAACATTCTGTAACATACTAGAACTTTTCCAATGAGGTGCTTCTAGCACCCTACCTGCCCTCCAATATATCTGGATGTCCTCTCATTCCACAGGAAACAGGCCATGCCATGGTGGCATGGGATTCACTTAACGTGCTGAAAATGTTTAAACATACCTTTTAAGAATCTAGCTGTCTTGTGGGTTGTAATGCTGTCATATGGTAGAAGATTACAGACGTTTCAGAGGTGAATGCTACCTCCATCATCAGGGAGATTATGATTGAGGCAGCAAGCACTTCTGAAATGTAGGTAAAATTCCACCACATGATGGCATTACAACCCACAAGAAACACATCTTCTTATTCATTGCCATGAGGACTTGAAATTTTACTTAGATCAGATTTACTAATCAATATGTGTCAAATACGACTGATTTCTTAACCTAAGGAAGTTAATTATACAGCACGAGATATTTAAATATGATTACAATATAATCACAGTAATTAAAGGCTGCTCTATCCATCTTCTGTATCACAAATTAATTATATGTTTATAAATAGGTTAACGAGTCAACAAATTTTTTGTAACAGGAAACGGGAATAAATTTTTTAACTGATTCTGATGTCCAATTCCACATCTAAATAGAGTATGTTACCATAATATAATTTTTATAAAAATGTTATGGACAATTTTCATACATACAGCTTGCATCAGAGATTCTTACTCTAGTCCCAGACAGAGGAAGAACTGCTGACTTGGCATTTTGATGATAGGGAAGACAGGGTGACAGAATAGGATGGGGGCAAATCAAATGGAAGCACTTACATGTTGAGCATGAATAAACATTACATTCTTTTGAAATGCAAAAAATTATGCAACTATGGATGTCTAATGTGGGTAATTTTTGCTACCTGTATGAACAGACCACAACGTAGTCTCAACATTTTATTTCCAGTGCAATGTGAAAAATCAGGATGAAAGCCTGGCACCACATATCTCATGATAATGGTACTGCAAACAAAGAAGAACAGTATACTATTTGCTGTAAACCAACAAATCATGTTTGAAGACTTGTCTTCTAAAAATTTTGGGATATTCAAGAAACAGTAAACATCGACTTAAATATTGGATGTCTCATGCGCACTGTAGCCAGTGCCAAACAAGTAAGACATATTCCTGTTCCGCCCAATGAATGGTAAGAAAACTCAAATCTCAGCAACAAAGAAACGGATGACAAGGAAGGTGCATGAACATCTTCAAATCCAACAATCACACGCTATACTCCCAAGAACAATACATAATAGGACACAATGAATTCAGTGATTTCATATGCAACTTAAATGTAACAAAGCAACAAGTTGAGATTTTTAGATTCATATTACAATAGGATTTCCTGAATAACAGCATGAGAATTTCGTACTCAGAAAAATTAAACAAAAACTGTTGGCACTTTATGGAATGCGGGACTCTCTACGAGTGTTCTTCAACTTTAATACATTGATGGAAGAGTTGGACTTTTAATACAAAGCTGAAGAACAACAGTTATACATAGACCCATTTAAAGTGAGGATAAATGAGGTTATGTTGCATAAAGGAAACAAATAGCCTTTGATAACTATAGCCCATGCTACTAGCATGAAGAAAATTTACAAAAGCATGTCCCTTAAACTGAATACAATGAAGAATAAATTTAGCCATCATCAAATTCTTGCTAGGGATGCAAGAGTGATTTAAGTAATGTTGCTGTACTGCCATTTTAACAACTATTCAAGCACATAAAGTTTACTAAAATGATAATAAGAAACTGAGCTTTCAAAGTTATACATAATTACCAAATGTTATCGAGAACAATCCCAGTGGCTGAACAAGTCAAGAAATTCCCATTTTCAAGGAAGCTGAAATTTCCACATAGACAGTGGACCTTATCTCCAGTTTCATTTAAAGAAAACTTATGGAAAACATAGGAACTATTTAAACATTATCTCCTCACATATGCTTTGGTCTTCAAAGTGATATCATCACTTCAAACTTTCCAGCCAAAATGTTGTATGCATTTCTTTCATATATGCTGCCTGTTCCATCATCCTTGACTTAGAAAGTCTCAACAGTATTATAAGAAGGGTACAAATTTGTTTAGTTCATTATGTGACTTTATATGTCTTAGTTTCTCTGTTACTTACATCCAGATATTTTAATCGGTACATTTTAATCTTTGTGTAACAATTACAGCCTTCAGTGTAGGAGACTAAGTCTCACATTCATGAAAATCAAGTAACATTATAATTATATGTATATCAATCCATAGGTTTTCTTTAGAAGGAACATGGAAAGATAAAGAGTTTGAAATAAACTGCACCATGCATTTCCTGAATGTAAGGACTATTAATTTTGTCCTGAACACAATTTTAATTTGTTGCTGTAATTTCCAAAAATGTTATATGTGCATTTTCAAAGGATTAATTAGCATTTTTACATTTATAATTTTGTCCATGTGATAGTTAACCTGTATTCAAAAGTGAATACTTTATTACTACTAAATTCATACATACAGGAAAATTCTCTTAATAAATATCCATTCATCTAGAGCATGACAATTGTTCTTTTGTCTCTTTGGTCTGTGCAAAAATTTGCTCTTAGGGTTTTACACTTTAACAAAAATTCAATATGTCACCAATGAATGCACATTTATATCATACAAAGTAACACTTTTATCTGCAACAACAAATGTGACAGTTGAGTTCACAGTCATCAACACTCCTGCTTTATATTCAGAAGGTCCTGGTTTCAAGTCTCAACCTACTGACCAGCTGAAAGGTTCTGTGAAAGTTAAGCTGCTCATTTCTTTCCATATTGTTTTTCAAATTCATTATTCATTAAATATCCTACATTCAATGCTGTATTGTATGGTTTGTTAAGTATTATCAAACAATTCATGTATTAACAAATATAATTCATGTTTTAGCAAAGATTTTTAATTTAATTTTTCCAACGGAATAATAAAGAAATTCATTAAAACATTTACTTAGAGTTTTCTCATCTCCATCCTATTTCTGAATGTTTCACTGTTACTGTATCTACTACCAATCATTAAAACCAGACTAAAGAAACAAACGTTTTAAACACAGTTACGTGATAAACACGCACATAAACCAGAATACTACATACTGTCATTGGAGCCCATTCTTTACAGTATAAAAGCAAACTTCATACCACCACCAAATGGCATCATAAATTAAATGTACACCAACCATTCATCACAATACACATGACTACTGAACAATGTTTCTGGCCTTTGATTACTTGCTGCCCAATATGAGCAGTTCTGTGGCATAATCACTGCTGGGCTGGGATTTACAAAAGGGTAACGACAGATAAACTAAAAAAAAAATACTCTTGAAAATATCAGGCAACATGACAAAATTTCTAGGTGCCACAGCAACCAGGATCTGTCAAACCCTCATTTATCTAAGCATCAGGTAAACTGTTGCAATAAATGAGTTAAAATGTTACAATATCGACAACAAGGTGGTGATCATTCTTTTATAGACTGTAAAATGTTTTTTATTAAAATGTTATTTTCTTGCAAATGGCTCCCGAAAACAGGCGTATCCTTATAGTCAAGATTACCCTTTCTTCAGACAAATATGTTAATTAAATTGTATCTAACAACCAAAAATAAAACAAAATTGTAACCAAACTAACTCTTACTGTCTAGAGCAAGCATGTCAAACTTGCGGCCCACAACGAATATTTTTGCGGCCCAGCCAATATAACGGTATGTAAGAAACGTTTTAATAAAAATTTCGTAACTTAATTTTTACAATATCCTGTTATACATAATTATTAATAACGAACTACAACGTTCGCCAAAGACTGATTACTATAATCGTGTTGCATCCATTTCCCTTACGCGCAGGCGCACCATTTCCCCCCACTAATACTAGCAGCCGATTATATACCTACTACCACGTGCCAGTGCCACGTCATTAGTCTTGTACTGACTTGTTTGGTGTGCGTAACAGGAAATATTTCGCTTTCGGAGAACAAGGAAAATAGGTTTATTTACGTTACGCTTATTAATTTGTGCAGTTATTCAGTGTCTGGTAAGTTAATGTTCAAGAAAAATATTAATTTTTATTAAAATGTTCTATTATTTTATGTTAATGATTACTCATTTATTTAAGCCCTTTGTATTCAGCATGTCTCTGTCGAACCCAAGTGGTAGTAAAAATAAACGAAAAATTGCTGACGAACATCGAAATTTCCAAGAAAAGTGGGTATTGGAGTATTTTGGCTGTGAAGTAAAAAATAAAATAATCTGCTTGATATGTAATAATGCCATTAGTGTACCAAAGTTATACAACATTAATCGTCACTATGAACAACATTAATCAAAATATGATAATTACGGGGGATTAATGAGACAAGAAAAGTTGAAAGAGCTCAAGTTGGGACTGAAAAAATAACAGTTCATGTTTACTAAAGTATCACAAGAAAGTGAAGCGGCGTCTTGTCGGAGTTGATAGCTAGCTCAATTAGCTGTGTTTCTTCGTGCTTGCGACACGGATTTCAACATTTTTGAGGAATTATTGGAACTAGTACCGATGCATAACACTAGTACAGGACAGGATATATTTAACTGTGTTTTTGAACTTCTGCAAAAATACAATCTACCTCTGTCAAAATTAACTTCTGTAGCTACAGATGGAGCTCCTTCGATGACCGGAAAAAACAATGGTTTCGTGGCATTACTGAAAAAAAAAAAAAAGTGGAATTTATGACGGATCCAAGATTCATCATAGGCTCGTCATTAGTCTTGTACTGACTTGTTTGTTTGGTGCGTAACAGGAAATATTTTGCTTTCGGAGAACAAGAAAAATAGGTTTATTTACGTTACGCTTATTAATTTGTGCAGTTATTCAGTGTCTGGTAAGTTAATGTTCTAGAAAAAATATTAATTTTTATTAAAATGATCTATTATTTTATGTCAACGATATTTCAGCCCTTTGTATTCAGCACGTCTCTATCGAAATAAACGAAATATTGCTGACGAACATCGAAATTTCCAAAAAAAGTAGGAATTGGAGTATTTTTGCTGTGATGTAAAAAATAAAATAATCTGCTTGATATGTGCACCAAAGTTATACAACATTAATCGTCACTATGAACAACATAAATCAAAATATGATAATTACGAGGGATTAATGAGACAAGAAAAGTTGAATGAGCTCAAGTTGGGACTGAAAAAACAACAGTTCATGTTTACTAAAGTATCACAAGAAAGTGAAGCGGCGGTGCATGCAAGCTACATCTTGTCGGAGTTGATAGCTAAACACTCGAAACCTTTTACTGAAGGTGATTTCATCAAGGAATGTCTAATTAAAGCTGCAGAAATTGTTTGTCCTGGAAATGTGAAGGCTTTTCAAGCAATCTCTTTGTCTCGAAATACAGTTGCGGAAAGAGTTACTTATTTGGCCGACGATTTAAGTATTCAGATCAAAGCAAAATCATCTAGTTTCGAAGTTTTTTCCATTGCCTGTGACGAGAGTACGGACATTGGGGGCGTAGCTCAATTAGCTGTGTTTCTTTGTGCTTGCGACACGAATTTCAACATTTTTGAAGAATTATTGGAACTAGTACCGATGCATAACACTAGTACAGGACAGGATATATTTAACTGTGTTTTTGAACTTCTGCAAAAATACAATCTACCTCTGTCAAAATTAACTTCTGTAGCTACAGATGGAGCTCCTTCGATGACCGGAAAAAACAATGGTTTCGTGGCATTACTGAAAAAAAAAAAAAAGTGGAATTTATGACGGATCCAAGATTCATCATAGGCTTTGCATTATACATCAAGAAGTATTATGCGTGAAGGAAATAAACATGGAAAATGTGTTGACATCTATCAAAAAAATCATCAATGTCATAAGATCTCGAAGCTTAAATCAGCGACAGTTCTCTGCTGTCTTAAGTGAATTAGACAGCGAATATTCCGGTTTGTCCTACTATACCGAGGTACATTGGCTATCCTGCTCCAAGGTTCTTAAACAATTCTGGGACTTGAAAGAAGAAATTGTAAGAAACGTTTTAATAAAAATTTCGTAACTTAATTTTTACAATATCCTGTTATACATAATTATTAATAACGAACTACAACGTTCGCCAATGACTGATTACTATAATTGTGTTGCATCCATTTCCCATATGCCTTACGAACATGTGTGACCAAGTTAAAGCATTCAAATTTAAGCTAGTTCTTTGGGAAAAGCAGTTGAAAAATGAAGATTTAACGCACTTTCCGACATGCAACATGAACAAATCAAGTTTAGGTGAAACTGCATCGTATCAAAAATACGCAGAAAAAAATTTAAGCCTTAGAACTGAATTTGAAACAAGGTTTGCAGATTTTAAATTTTTGGAAGACAAGTTTTCTTTGTTTTCTTCGACTTTTTCAATAAATATGGAATCAGTACCTAATCAAATGCTAATGGAGGTAATTGAGATCCAGTGCGATTCAGATTTGAAGGCAAAATTCAGTGAAGTTGGCGTGCCTGGATTTTACAAATATTTACCTGCCAGGTTAGAAAATACTCGAAAATTCGCATATGAAATTATTTCCATGTTTGGAAGTACTTATCGGTGTGAGCAGTTATTTACAATTATGAAAGGAAATAAGTCTCCTGTCAGATCCAGAATTACTGACATTCACCTTGGGTCAGTTTTGAAAGTAATCACTGCAAACAAGATTTCCCCCGAAGTAGGAAAGATAGTAGCAGAGAAGAGATGCCAAGTGTCAGGAAGAAAACATTAATTTTATCGTTGTTCTTTTTTTTATAATATAGTTTTCGAAATAAACCTACGTTTATATGAAAATTGAAGTTTTTGTTTTTTTGCGGCCCACATAAACTTAAACCTTGTTTATTTGTCCCATGTTAGCCTTTGAGTTTGACATGCTTGCCATACATCATTTCAGGCCCCTGTGTTAAGTGTTACTAATATTGCTCCCACCTCACATGTTCATACATTTGCCATGTTATTACTGGACCAATTGCAGGGTATAAAAGAACAGATCATATAAAAAATGAAGATATTAGACACGAACTAGGAACTTTTAACTTGCTGGATAAAATATGTGAACATCAAAGGAATTGGCTAATGCTTATAGAGAGAATGGAAGCAAATAGAATTCCACAGAAAATGTATAAATACAAACCTAAGGGCAAAAGAGGCAAAGGCCGCCCACAAAAACGTTGGAATGACCAATTTTAACTGCAGAGTACTGTATCCTATTTACTCAAACAGAAAATTCCTTGGAGATGGAACAGTCTATAATAGGCTAAACCATGGAGATGATGATGATTACTGGTTATAGGAAATTATAAAGGTGTGAGTAGGATTTGAGGTTTTCATGGTGGTGAGTTTGAAGATGGCTGTCTTCTGGGTTGTAGTGCCTTATAGTCTGGTAGAAGTTTACCACCATTTGAGACATCCATCTACTTATACCAGGCTACATAGTGCTACAACCCAGAAGACATCAGAATTCATTCAGTGGTTCTCGAGTTGAAACATCCAGGCAAGTGGATGGACATGATCAGCCAAATTTCATCTAGATATTCACATATTACCAAACCACTATGTTCAGAATTCTGAATGCTCCTAGCTGAATTAAGAAAATATATCATATTACAAATACATTATGCAAGCATTACTATCAGTTTCCATGTCAGTGTGATGCAGGTTATGTAGAAACACAAGCATATTTCTTCAACATAAGATAATCATTGACACATACCTTCCTATATTTTTATTAACAAAACAAATGAGTGAATTACAAGTTAATGTATGTACTTTCCACACTGTTAATCAACATATGTGAACATAAATTTTAAAAATTTTGCCTTTCCTTGCCAATTCAGTTTTTTTATCATCAGAAACTGATTTTTGACAGAACAGCGTATGTATTGCATGGTAATGAGTGTGAAAGCAATCTGATCTTTCACCATCCACTTACTGGGCTTATCAGCTTTGTCAGAACTTCTTTAGCTCTTATTTCTATGTTCCAATTAGGTTTTCACAGTTTCAGAGGAAATGTCCAGAGAAAGGTTATGGTTGACTTACATGGGTTGATGAAGATGAATAGAACTTATTTTGTACTGGACTCTAATAACTTGATTAATCATTTGAGTACTTCATCCAAGCATTTATTTTCTCCATTTCTCAGCATGTAATACCTAGTTGTAGACATAACAATTTATAAAATGGTGTACCATAAATGATGGCTATACAATTACCAGTGGTGATGCTATTGGAATAAACATGCTGGAAGGATCATATTTTTGTGTTTCTTACATCATATTGGAAACATGTTAGGAGATTGGATTATGCAGTCCACTGAGACTATTATGTGAGCTATTTAATCCCTCTTGTTAGATAGAGTTTAGAGATTGCCAACCTTCTTCAGTGATGAGCAATTAGGATGAGTTTTAATAATTTATAAAAGGAATTTGTGAATCTACCAAATAGAAACAGATGCTAATTATGTTTATATCTGCTCTATTGACTGGCTCATGAAAGTGTAACAATCAGACAATTAAAAAAAATTGTTCTTTCAATGAATATCTAAAAATCTCACAGGCTGTCCAAAACAGCAACTTTAAACTGAAGTAGTCGTACCTAAATGTGATTATTCTTTAGTAAAAGAATCACAGTGCAATATTATAATGCTCATTTTCTTTAATTATGACTTGTCATCAGACTATCTTCGCAGTTTGTCCTTTGTTTGTATGTTGGTGTGATATTACAGTTGTCTTGGCCTGGCCTCTTGCTCAAAATCAGTGGTTTCCATGCAGTAAGAGGTACATCTTCTGCAGGGCAAATTGTCAGACTGAAACAATAATATTTATCACTTGGAGTATTTACTGCTAGCATTTTGGTGTTGACTAGCACTGCAAGTATGTTATTTTAGTGTTTCAGAAACTAAAACAATACAAGAAAAATAATGGGAAAGAATCAAAATAGTTATATTATAAATTACATGATAGTTTAACACTAATATAAGTAAGTAAAGCAAAGTAAAGTTTGTCCCACTATACGCCACGTAGGCGTTTGGGGTGAGTGGAGGTATAGCTCCTCCCTTCCTTGACCTCGGCACTAGATGGGGGTGAGAGGTCAGTATCACGCCCCGGCCGGCTTTACCCCCGGGAAAGGACTCCGGAACCCATTGTAGAGGAGGCTAGGTGGGCCCCAGAGCCGGTCTGGACGCAGAGGCTAGAGGAAAAATCCTCTGCCCCCGTCGGGGATCGAACCCCGGCCGTCCAGCCCATAGCTAGTCACTATACTGACTGAGCTATCCCGGCTCATACACTAATATAAGTTCGTTGTTAATTAAGCAGTGGAGTAGGGAACCATCAAATACATGTGGAAAGAGGTTTTCATCCATTTCTCTTGCAGTTGATAAGTAGTAGATTGCTGGCCAGATCACAATGTAGGATACTTTTAAGCCATAGATAAACATAGTTACTTGTCTTGATGGATTTTGGAAAATTTGGAAAAATATAAGCGTGAATATACAACTCAAATGAAACTCTATTATTTGATGAACTGTAGAAAGCAATAAAATCTACCTCTGAGGTATCCAGTCGCATCAGAACCCCGACGATGGGGACAGAGTTGGTTCCCGAAACGCCAGTTTACTATAGTAACCAGTTAACACGGCTGATTGCCCAAGAAGATTTTATTGATTGTACTCTCTGCGAAAGTCTCAAATCCTATTAACTGTAGAAAGTATTGAAAGCAATACAAACCTGTCCCCCTCCTCTATGCTTTCCATCTTTATCCAGCTAATATAGATGCGAGGTGTGGTGATGAACCTCCATGTCAGTGGGTTCAGTGGGTTTGTTCGATATTCCCAACGCAGTACAGCAGACTCCAGTTTTCCAACAGGGGCTCCAGGTACTGTCACCCGGTGTTCACTACCAGGTTCATAATACTCTTCCCTGAGAGAGTACAGTTTTTCATTGCCATTTATTTATATAAGAAATATTTTAGAAGGCATCATGAGATAGTAAAAAAAAAGGTATTGAAGAATTATCTATAAAACAAAAGCACCTGACAACACATAATGAGATGTCAGAATTTTCACAAGACAAATGCTCATTGATTTTTGTAAAATTTGTTTTTTCATAAAATATTTCTCTTCTCTTTTGTCGCACCATGTAGTATGGTAGAAAGATTACTGTCTACTGGGTTGTTGTGCCGTGTAGTCTGGTAGATGTCCACAAACGTTTCAGAGGGTGACTTGATGATGGAGGCAGTATGACCTCTGAAACATTGGTGGACATCTACCAGACTATACGTCACAACAACCCAGAAGACAGTAATCTTCAAACTTACCACCGTGAAAACCTCAAATCCTACATAGTCCGGTAGAAGTTTTCTGAAATTTCAGAGGTGCTTGCTGCCTCCATTATCAGTGCTAAAGGACAATGTACTGGAGTAGTTGCCAGGTCAGGACAAATACTGTTTTATTGGATACTTCTTGTGTCATTTGACAGTGGATGAGGGACTTTCATTTCCAGCTCAGAACGGTGGCATTCTGGAGTTGAATTTGGTGGCCCAGGTTAATGCTGTGTTTGGCCACGGCTCATTTGTCTGTATGCTCCAAATGAATGTCTGATGAGATTCAGCTACTCCCTAATAAGATGGACAAGGAGAATGGCCTCTGCCTGAGTCAACCTATGGAAGCCCTTCATCAACTCCCTCAAAAGACATGGGAGACCTCGGATAAAGTAATGCTTGTCCCAACTTGGCCAATATACTTCCGAATGCCTTAATGATGGAGGCAGGAAGTGCCTCTAAAACACTGGTAAAGATTTATTATACTACATGGCACAACATAACAGAAGACAGCGATATTCACACAAACCATCATGAGGACCTGAAGTCAAATGAAACAATCCTGCATTCATAATTTGGATTAATTGGGCACAAAATGTAAATGAACAAAAGCAGTAGTTCTGAAGAAAGATTGTTTTCCTTGATAAAACTGAATTATCCATTTTTAGAGAAAAATAAATTTCATACTTAAAAGAACCCTTATGAAAGATGAGTTTTGATACAGAGAGATAAATAAGGAATGTGGCATATGTGAACAGCAATATACATGGATCTGACATATTACATTAATTTTGTATTGGGCCACAGAGATTTACCAGGGTGAATGAAAGGATAACAATACTTACAGTTGTGTCAGTCTGATGTCCGTCGTAATTCCTTTCTCTCCTTTTATTGTGACCCACATTAATCCAATTTCCCCTCCATGTTGTACACTCTTGCATGAGTCAGAAATTTTCCATATAATGTAATAATGATGCCCTGGAATGTTTTGTAATACCATTAAATTAAGTTTTAATACATTAAAAATATAACATGTGGTAGAGAGTTGTGCTTAAATGGAACCTGTAGCAAAATTCATATAGGTAAATATTTGTCTGAGTCATTTACCATCAAGAACGGTCTGAAACAAGTAGATGCTTTGTCTCCCTTCCTCTTTAACTTTGAACAAGAATATGCCATCAGGAAAGACCAAGATAGTCAGGAGGGTTTGCAGTTGAATGGGACACATCAGCTATTGGCATTTGCTGATGATGTTAATACAATAAAGAGGAACAGAGACGTTTTACTAGAGGCTAGTAGACAGGTGGGACTAGAAGTAAATTCAGAAAAAACTAAGTACATGTTGTTATCTCGTCATCAGAAGACAGGCGGGCAAAATTACCTTAGGGTAGCTAATAAGTCCTTTGAAAGGGTTTCAAAGTTCAAATATCTGGGAACAAAAATAACAAATCAAAATGACACTCATGAGGAAGTTAGGAGGAGATTAAATTCTGGAAATGCTTGCTACTTCTCAGTTCAAAATATTTTGTCTTCCCGTCTGATTTCTAAGAACCTGAAAATTAAAGTATGCAAAATAATAATCTTGCCTGTTGTTTTGTATGGGTGCAAAACATGGTCTCTCACTCTGTCTCTCAGGGAGGACCATAGATTACAGGTGTTTGAGAATAGGGTGTTGAGGAGGATATTTGGGCCTAGGAGAGAAGACGATGGGGCATGGAGAAAACTGCATAATGATGATGGCTCTAGCATACAAGGATTGAGTAGAAATTGAGAGGCAGTGGGCTTGTCACTCACTATTCAAATTCACCCTACAAGACTAATATGGACAAGTTGCCTTGAGCAACTGTCCCAAAATGGGTCAATAGGCTCAAACCTTGTAGTAGTTTTTGATAATGACACTGCCAGAAACAGAAATGACGTGTTGATTGAGAGAATTATTAATGAATAATGAATTATAAGGGATATTGAAGGAAGTGGTCACAGCCTATTTTAAGGCACTTTGTCAACATTTGCCTGGACAGACTGAGAAAAATCATGAAAAACCTAAGGCAGGATAGCTGGTCTGTGGGCTGAGATGAATGTTCTAAGAATCACTATTTTAAGACAAGTACTTATAAAATTACATAAGGAAAGTGCATTAATAACACTTCATATTAGATCTGTATTAAAGTATCTTACGGCAGAAAGGTTCTTCTGCTCCAGTCATCATGAACAACCTGATATTGGATCTTGGCAGAGAATGTCTCAGAGGTGATTCATATGCGGTCCCCTTCTTAAGAAATGAATCTGCGTGCATTCCAAATTTAGTTTGGAAAGGGCATTTGTTGCTTTTGGAACAGTTAAAGCAGCTACCATTCTGAAATTCCTCCCATGAACCACAGTCTGTACCCATGAAATAGCAAGGCCCTGGATTGATGGACTCTGTGAAGTACTGGTAGCTTCGGATATGGTTGCAACTTATCATATTTCTGATACCTGTAAGCATAAGCACATTAGGATTATGCAGTGAATGGTACAGTTAAGAATACAGCTTGTTTGACTAACACTGACAAGTTTAAATGATGAATTCAAATACTTGGTATCCTAAATGCTGTGCTTATAATTATTGCCAGTTTTTCTATGTGGCTGTGGAATTTAACTATAATACAGACAATGATTACTTTTTACTCCATACATTAAAAAGATCTGTAAACTGTTTCTTTAAGGTAAGGGGCTTTGAAGCACAACAGGACAGGAAGAGATTATTGTGGAACTTAAAATGAGAAAATGAAAATGTGTTGGGCATCTTCTAAGAAAGGGAAAAGGAGTGGTAGAAGAACTTGGAAGAGAACAGTTGAGAAGGAAGCACTAAAATAAATCAATGGATGTGGATGCCCTGTGTTTGTTGTAGGGGGATCGTAATGATGATGACTAGCCACAGACTTTTCCAGCTCATGAATAATTTTGACAAAATGACTGAAGGATCTATTGCCAAAGGAATTATCAGTCAGTAATTAGAAAATTAGATGACTGGATGGATGGACCAATGGGTGGACAAGCAGACAGGCAGAGAGATGGACAGATGCTGGTTCATCTCATAGATTGTGTTAAATATTACGTGAGACAAGTCCGAGTACAATATATCACATTTAGAAAATACCTAAAATGTAATACATTTACAGAAACTTATCAACAGAACAAAATATACTACTGGAGGCCAAATCACATGCATGATTATATTATTAGTTTAGTTTATTATTTATCCCTCTTGACCAAAGTGTTGACACAGGACACATCAGCAAGATATAAGACCTTAAGTATAGACATTGCATATATTTATATAACATAACACACTGTAACAATAATTCTTTGTATGGAAATACAGTTTAACATCATAATGAATCAGTTAATGTACCGCACCTTAGCGGGCCGGTCTGAGGCATCATGCTTTGGACCGACGATATGGAATGCGGGCTGGTTCGAGTCTCGGGGGAGAAGAAATTTTCTCATGAGCTTTCGACCAGTGTATGGGACCGGTACCAAACCAGCATCGTGAGGAAATTGGGGAGCTGCAATGGGTAGCGTAATCCAGTCAGGAAAGCTAGCAATGGCTGGGGGTTTGTCGTGCTGACCACACGTCACCCTATATCTGGTTGGATGATCGTTCACCTCTGCTTAGGCATATGAACATGAGGCCAGCAGTCAAGCTAGTCGGCTTTGGCTCTCTGGAGCTGTTACGCCATGGATTTAATTTAATTTAATTTTAATGAATCAGTTAATAAGACATATTCATCAATAGAGTAGAATATGGGACATGATGGAAAGGATCTCAGCAGTTATGCAGTATATTTAAAAATGGCTGTAATTTCATAACTCTGAGAACATGATGATTGTCAAATTAATGTATGGAGCAAATAAATATACACATAAATTCCACACACTTAGTTCACATTCCATGCACTTTGCATTTGCTCATGCCTGTACATGTATGTGCGTGCACACTTACACACACAAATGGCATAAAAGTAGCACTACAGCTTTAAAGTCAGGTTATGAGCTGCCATGTGTTTTTATCAGATATGCCAGGTTATTGGCACATGATTAAGCAGTGTTCTGACATTGGTTGTTTCTAGAAAATACCAGTTGTGTGGTCACAGTACTGCATATTCTTGCATTAATGGCCTTGCAAATGCAGAGAAATGACTTTTCATGGTAAGTTACAACATGACTGAAAATGGTAATGATACTTTTGTGCCACTCTGTACACACCCACACGACTATATACAAAATTTAAACTCAGACATATGATTATAGTTTGTCAGCAATTTATTAGTTATAAATTTATCAACAGAGAAGCTATGAGTCAAATCAGACCAATCTGTTGTTTGTTATTCAGTAAGTGTAGAGAACATAACCTCAAATCTTACAACATTTATGTACTAAATTTAATAAGTGATCATTTAACCTTTATCATACATGAACAGGAGATTTAAACTCTGGATTATATGGCTTTTGGTTGGGCTTTAGCTTTGAGGATAACGGTTTAGTGGTATACTAGAGAGGTGCATGATTAGCTGATTTATACATGAGATACATAACCTGGACAAGTGAGGTTAATGATGCATGGGAGATACATATAAATTAATAATGGTGTAATTTCACATTTTCTGTATTAAACTAACATGTAAATTTGAGAATGATTACCACATGTCTTCAACCCTGTTTCTCTGTTAGATCCCTGTTAGGAGCTGAATTATTGTATTTTTTAGCTAATGGAATGGCAAAAGATATACCAGGTTTACTGTTGATCACAGATGTATCATATTTACCTCTGTAAAAATTTCTGCTTCCTTTTCTTATGTGTGATATAACACCTTCATGACACCCAGGTTGTTCAGTTCCACCATTAGGGTAGAAATCCACATGTCCAATAGGCTGCAAGATACCCAGCCCTCCACTGAGGAATGGTCCAGCATCTGTATGAATTACATCTACAAAATCTGCATCTGTAGGGTCCAGACGAACAATTGGATCTGTCTTACTGAAGTGGGGTTCTGCTGGATCAAGACCTAAAGAATAGTGAGTAAAATAACATAATGGTTCTCTCTCTCTCTCTTTTTGTGTATATGGAGCTGAAAGAATAGTTTAGTGTGATCAGCTATTAGTGAAACCACATTACAAATTCAGGAAACAAAACATTATGATGTATCATATGGCATTTGAATTCTCTATGAAATGGAAATGATACTGCATATGTTTTTATATAATATTATGTATACTTGTTGCTGTCTGTCTCTCACTTTGAAGGAGGAACACAGATTACAGGTGTTTGAGAATAGGGTGTTAAGGAGGATATCTGGGCCTAGGAGAGAAGAGGATGGGGTATGGAGAAAACTGCATAATGATAAGCTTAAAAATTTGTGTGCATATGTGATTGTGCATAGCAGTCCATTCGAGGAGTCAAACAGCACATCTACCTCAACATATTTACATTGCTTTACTTCTAAAGATGAACATGTGGACAGGCACAACTATATGAGAGAGTTCTGCTTCCTCTACTCTGCATAGACAATACCAGAAATACGAAGACTTGCTCTAGTTGGAATAGATCCTCTTTGAAATATTTAGAGCATAGGGCAGCTATTTACATTTCAACATTTTTCAAGTTTAACTACAAAGGTGACAGTAACTTGTATAAATTAGTGTAGGATATACTCATAATTCCTTATAGATTAAATGTGAACCACATCCATTTCTGGTCCTGCAATGGCCCACTTATTCTTGACTATTACTGTTGTTTAATTTAATTTGACATAAATGGCAATCATTCATAGGACTGAGAAATGAAAAATGAAAAGGTTTCTCTGCAAACCTGGTAATTAGGATCTTGAGAATTTGGGATTTTTATAATCAATTCTTGTTCTTCTCTGAATAGAAATGTGCATTCACATTTTCAGAAATTGTATTTATAGTCAAAATATATTGGTATATGTGACTGAAGTACTAAGGGCTTTGGCTGATAATTTTGGGCAGGAGGACTGTAGGTAGCTGTGATGTATGCGAATAAAGGTTAATATAAATTGGTTGTCTTCTTCAGCATTGATTTGATGGTTCAGTGACCTTGATCTGTTTTATAAGAACAGGACTTAAAAGATGTAAAGCTCGTACATGTTAAAATATTCACAAACTGTCCTTGCTGGACATATCATTTATGCCTTGCAGTTCACCTGTCTTCCTATTACCTATCTAAAAACATAAAGTTTAAAATACACAAAAAGCATAATTTTATCTGTTGTTATGGTGTAAAACTTGGGAGGGTGGAGATAATTGCACATGAGTATTTCTGTAATTTGTACCCTTCACCAGATATTACTGGAATACTCAAATCAAGGTGCACGGAACAGATGGGACACGTAGTGTGCATGTTGGAGGTGAGAAATATGTACAACATTTTTCTTTAGAAGACTGGAGGGAGGAGTCCATTTGGAAGACCTAGGTGTAACTGGGAGGACTATACTGAAATGGATGCTTGGGAAGTATGATTGCAATGTGTGGATTATATTAATCTGACCCAGAAAAGGGATTGCTTGTGCGTATTTGTGAACACAGTAGTGCATCTAAGTTCCATAAAAGGAGGGGAATATCTTGACTAGCTAAGCACAACTTTTTTATGTTTTTAAAACTAAAATGTTATTGTTTTAGGAAGATGATTTCAGAATAATACCATCTAAGAAGACTTATTAACCCTTCAAGATTTATTTGAACAAATTACTTCCAATTGGAATTGTGTAGATTTATGTAATATTGAAGATAAAGAATAATATAATTTTGAAATTTGTTCCACTCTTGACATACGGTGTCATTTTGATATCTTCGTTCATCAAATATATATAAATGAAAATCTGTTATTAAAATGTGCAAGGTTAACAGACGTTTCACACATAAAAGCAAATCGTGTTTTATGTTAAGACGAAATCGTAGACAACAAGAGTTCAAAAAATAAATTTTTTAAAGTTGTCATACTGAAGTTTTCTGTGTTGAATAAAGTTAGTTTTAATCATTTGATGAATGATTTAATATTTATTTAAGTTATGTTTAAAATAATAAGCGCACATATCTGTCTTGAGAGGTACAATTAGGCTGTTGTAAGTGGCGCTAACAGAAATTTCTTATTTAACACTAGATATTTTTGACATACAGATATTGGTGCTTCTGCTTTGAGTCGTCTTAATGTTGATATATTCTGACCAGTTTAATTTGTGCGGGCGTTAGAGTGCCGTGATCCAAAGTTGTAGTGAATGTGTAATGAAATTTAAGAATGTGAGCCACAATTAGGATAAAATAATACGAATATTAGTGTGCATGACGAAACATTTGGTAGTATGATATGAGTGTGATATGTGACATACAAGAAAAAACCAAGAATTATCATAGCTTACCAGCATACTACACAGCAGATATGTACAGTGATGGTGGCAAATCTGGTAGCAAGAAATGAAAATGAGGTTATGTTGGGTCTGTCAGAGTGTGTGTTTTGCAAGAGTCAATAGTTAGGAAGTTCATTTTCTGTTGTCTGTGTATAACAGGAATCTGGCTTCAGTCATTGTGAAGATATTTTACAAACCATTTTACATTCATTACAGTTTGCATAGATAATGCTGCAATGAAATATGTGACTGTTTAAGGCAAAAATGTTTCATTCCTCTCAATGTTAACTGGTCATACATTTTAATATCATACAGAAACTGGGTTGTAACGTTTCATCATAGTATTTCTGTGTTTAGTATAGGCTGACTATAACAATAACTATTTGTTAATTAATTTTTAATTGATATGTCATTGCATACTGATACCTGTAATTCGTCCTAATTTGTATCTGAAGTCTTTCTGTGTAGTTTGCCCAGCATAAGCAGCCATATGTGCACCAAGACCATGGCCAATAAAGTGAATGAGCTCTGGATTAGTTCCCACTTGAACCTGAAGGAGTAAATTTAAAAACAAGTTTTATAATTCTTTTCTGATAGCTTCTGTAACTGCACCATATTTTTTATCTTTGTTATATTAAGAACGTGTGTCGTAAAGAAATATTACCATTATTCTTGTTAGCAAGCACTACTGTGTTATCAAAATTCATAAGATTCATTGTCTAAGTTTGGCTTATGGATTTGGTGAAACTTTCACTGTGGCTTATCCTTGAAAGAACAGCATAATGATTTGTACTACCTCCCCAATATTGTCAGGGTGATTAAGTCAAGAGGAATGAGATGGGTGGGGAATGTGGCACGCATGGATGGGGCATGAGGTGTGTACTGGATATTGGTCAGGTAGCCTGAAGGGAGGAGACTGCTGGGGAGAACTGGACATAGATGGGAGGATAATATCAAGCGGGATCTATAGAAGATAGGAGTTGAAGGCGATTTGATTTTGCTGGCCCAGGACTGGGACTGGTGGAGGGCTTTGATTAATTTGGTGATGAACCTTCAGGTTCCCTAAGCTATCTTGTTAGTTAGTTATCCTTGAAAGTTTAAGTTATACATTACATTTTAGCACAGAGACATTTAATATTATTTAATGTATTGATGTAAGATACAGGTATTCCTCATTATGTGTGTTAAAAAGATATGATTTCATTTTGATGTTCTCACCTAATTTGGACTGATTTAAATTAATAGCCCACACTTTCATGTGATATGCTTCAAGGCCATTCAACTGAGGTGATGAGCAGGGGGAGTGGATTATTATATGGGTGGCTGAGGAGGGGAAGGGATTTTATTTTTTTGTGTATGTAATTTCATCCTGTGTGACTTTTCTTTTGAACACAGTTGTCACATAAATTGGGGAGTATCTGTGTTTTTCATATACATAGAACTTCTCATATTTGATGCTGACAGAAAAAAATTGTAGAAAGAGAATCAATCATGGAATTAAATGGTAACTGATATATTTACGATCTACTTCCATACCAACTTTCACGCAGTAAGTATGGATTGTTGAAATAGCCATGTTATTTTACATTCTGCACAAAATGAATCCTAATAAAGCTGCATGATTTTTGAAGATTTATTACCGTATAACATTTTAGGTTCCTGTATTAAGTGACCATGCGTTTGCATCTCAGAAGTTCGCATTGCCACCATGTCCATGTTGTTGGATGGCAGAGAAAGATGTTATAGCCTCCAAAGCATGATGCTCATACCAAAGTTCATGAGAATCAGTTTGTTTAAAAGTTACTGGGGATTGTACACATGGACATGTTGACAAGTGAATGTTTCAGATAACAGATAATAGAGTGATTGCATACAGTTTTTTAGTCTATAGTGTATCAAATTTTATATGTCCTTCTTGTCTGCATAAATGTTATTTTGCAAATTATGCCAGATCATGTATTAAGTCAAATTGTATATCTTACTCATTTGTAAATATAAGACAAATTTCTTAGTTGCAATATTATCTCACTGTGAATATATGCAACTGAAGATGAAAATATTCATGGAAAAATAAGTTTTTTATTGGTTGTTGAAGGATTAGTATATATTTATGAGAAATTAGATGTGGTTTTTGATAAAAATCCTCGTGGGTGACCAATTGCATAAAATCTGAGCAGACGTTCTGCCTTTCAGAGACCTTTCCTGTCTTTGTCATTGGGGGATGATGCCATTCCTAAATTGACATGGCTCATCACTCAAGAGGATTGTCAGCTTTAGTCACTCTGAAAGCTTTATCTGTATATTTGATTAATTTCTGCATAATGTGAAAAGGCTGTAGATGAAATGAGTTGGTCTCTCCATGCTAAATAAGTTATTACAGGCATACCTCGTTTTATTGTGCTTCGCAGATAACGCGTTTTTTACAAATTGAAGGTTTGTTGCAATGCTGCAATGAGCAAGTCTATCGGTGCCATTTTTCCAACAACATGTGCTTACTTCTTGTCTCTGTGTCACATTTTGTTAATTCTCGCAATGTTCTTGCATTGTTTTTTAAACATAATGCTATTGCACACTTAATAGACTACAGTATCGTGTAAACATAACTTTTATATGCACTGGGAAACCATAAAATTTGTCTGACTCGCTTTATTGCGGTGGTCTGGAACCGAACCCACAATATCTCTGAGGTATGCCTTACTCACATGTAAAATACTTATGTAATAAATAAGCAGACTTACAACAATATGATTTATCAGGTGGGCTGTCATGGCTCCAACAAGTCTGATGTTTGCGACTGCTTGAGGGTAAGGAGGTCCTGACCCCCCGCTCCAGTCTACAACTATCACACTGCAATCTGACAATTTTAATAGTTCCATTGTCATTTTCTGCAATGATAAAATTATTAATGACAAGTGATGTTGAATGTACAGACAGATACATAAGTACATTGGGACTGAACATTATGTAGAATATTCTCACCCATGTATTGTGTTGTAAGGAAATTGTGAATGTCCTTGAAATAGAATTTTAAATAGAATTTTTGTAAGATTTTAGGTTTTCATGGCAGCAAGTACGAAGATAACTGTCTTCTGGGATATTGCGCTGTGTAGTCTGGTAGATGTCTTCTGACATTTCAGAGCTGCTTGATTGTCCCCATCATTAGGATAATGAGTAAGCTTCTACCAGGCTACACAGTGCAACATCATAGAAGATAATTATCTTCAAAATTTATGTGAAATAACTGAAACTATAAACTTAATTTGTGGCTGAAAGTGAATATTTCAATTGTATGAATTAAGAAAATATTTGACAAACAACTACAATTTAAATTTATTCTTTCATGCATGTGTGTGTTAAAATTAATTTGTATCAGGGCATTTTTAACCTCAATATCTCTTGAATGATATCTGTGGTAATGTTATTGAAGTAAATAGAGTATATTAAGAATTTGGATCTGTTTAATAAATGCCAATGACAGTTTTCGTGTGTGTACTCTTAAATGTCAGTCTGTAGGTGAGGATTAACTAGCTCACATATTCATTTTTTGCTTCTGAGTACTCCATTTGTCTCAGCCCAACCATTTATAATGAGGGAATAATACAAAAATTTGTCACTGATTCCTTTTATATTTTGTATGAGGGAGGGTTTTTTTATTTGAAAAAGAAATTGGGTATGATATTTTAATTGAAAAAATGCACTGCACTTCAAAATGGATTATCAGTATTACATAAAAGCCAATAGGATATTTGTAGATAGCTGTGTTTGCTTGTGCTAGCAGACAGTATATTTAAATTGGCACATATTAATCCTGTACTCCTATAGCTGCAAATTTTGAGTGATATTTTGTGTCTTAAACTGTTTAAAATTTATATTACACAGCGCTGTATTAGTTCTTTATGCATTCTTTGCATGAGAATTCATAATGATCTGGCCGTGCATGTCCATCCATCTGTACATTTGATTCAACTTGAGAGCCATTGGATGGGTTGGAATGATATTTGGTGTGGATGTTGAGTAGTTCTGCATGGCCTATTATACTTTTGATTATCCTATGAGTGGTGATAACAAAATGAAGTTTGAGGAATGGTAGGAGGAGGATAGTGACCAGCATTAAAAAGATACTTAATTACACACTCCTTTTACTCTGTCGATGAATTTCTAATGTTTACAAGTAAGTCATAATTTATCTATTGTATATAATGGGTGGATTTATTTGTAACTCATCTCTACTTTATGTGAAACCTTTGTTTGTATTTTGTGACATTTATATAATAGTATGACTTGTATCTGTAAAACATGTATTGTATTATTATGACTTATTCTACATCCTATTGTCATCTGACTAACTTATGGATCCATGGAATGTAGTAAAGATATATGTATGTATGTAGGTGCTGCAGTCTGGTGGTCAAAGTGGGTGGCAGATTTAATACCTCTCAAATTACATTGCAAAGAACGCTCGAGGATTTGTGTATTTCAGTATGAAATACACTTTTGGAGCTTGTAATTACATGTGTTTATGTCATATCTTTAAATATTTATTGATATGTGAAAGGAATGGGAAATAAATACAAGGGAAGGGAAAGAAAGAGATACAGGTTTGAAAGGAATAAAGGAAATAAAGATTGCTTTCTCCTGGGTTGTTACGCCATGTAGTATGGTAGATGTCTACTAACGTTTCAGAGGTCATACTGCCTCCATCATGGCCCTGATGATGAAGGCAGTATGACCTCTGAAACGTTGGTGGATATCTACCATACTACATGGCGTAACAACCCAGAAGACAGCAATCTTCATACTCACCGCTGTGAAAACCTGAAATCCTATGAAATAAATAAAGTGACGGAGGTGTGATAATAGGATGGACAAATGGAAAATGAATATAGGATAAAGTTGGAAAGGAGACTGAGGTACAAAAGGGATAAACAAAAGGAAGAGGAGCGATTAATATATGAAAAAATTATTCTCTGTTGAATTTCAACAGATTTTTTTTACACTAGTGTAAGTGGGATGTTAAGTATAAATATAAATTAATCCAAATGTATGCTATCCCGCTACAGACCATGGAAGTGCTTGGAGGTGTGTTGTATAACCTACACATTCTTGATTTTGGCACTGGATGGGGATAGTGGGTGAGTGTTCAGCATCACGCTCGAGCCGTGCTTTACTTCCGAGGACAAAACCCCTGGTACTCATTGGATAGGTGGCTGGCTGGGCCCCAGAGCCAGTCTGGTTGCAGAGGTTAGAAGAAAAGTCTTTTGTGCTGCCAGGGATCAAACCTTGGTCATCCAGTCCACAGTCAGTCATTATGTATGTTCAGTATTATCGTTATAATGACGAGAAGTTTTCTTGTATAAGCACATTTTTGTAGTCACAGTCTGTATTTCGTGTGACTTCATTGACACCATTTTCAAAGTGGAAGGAAACGCCACTTGCATAATTTGTGCATAAGTGTAAATTAGATCAGAATGTGCCAAGCAAAAATTGTCGTTATTAACAAAGGTATGTGAAATAATCTAATGTGTATCAACACAATGTCATATGGACATCTCCCATCGTTCCATTAGCCATGATGAAGATGTTTGTCTGTCTTCTTTGATGTTGCACTGCATAGTTTGGTAGATATTGACCAACATTTCAGAGGAGCTTACTGCCTCCATCATTAACCTGTTGACAGCCATCTCATCACCATGAGAACCTAAAATGTCTCCTATTATATGTAATATTCAATTTATATTGGTAAAAGTTGTATAACACAAGTAATTAATTTCTTATACCAGGCACATCAGCATAATATTCATGTGTACAGTCCAAATTATTGCAACCTTTGTTACTCAACTGCACAGTTATATAAAACTGATTGTCCAGTTAAATGATGCAACATACGTGAGCATGTAAACAAATTTATTTTATTAATTTGCTCTCTTATGCGATTACTGAAGCAGATGTTCACTAACCTTTATCCATTTCTTGTAGCCGTGCTGTATAAAACCATGAGTGATGAAATAAACTTTATGAAAAGGCATAAGAAATGACTGTTCCAGTGAACTTGTGTCCATGATGTTTAGGTTCTGTTGAAAAAGAAAAAAATGTTGCAAACTTTTATTTTTTGTATCTACAGTTAAGATCTTTGAAGGGGTGTACAAGATTGGACAAAATCAGGAATGAAAATGTAAGAAAAGAATTAGGGGTATTCTCAGTTAATGACAGAATAAAAAGACACAAACAAGATTGGCTACATGTAGAAAGTATGGAAGGAGGATGAATTTCGAAACAGGTCCTTTGGTATAGACCCAAAGGAAAAAGAGATCCTGGACGACTACGCCAAAGGTGGATTTCATAGAACCCGGGACATGCCATAGGCCTGATCAGTGAATTGGAGGAGAAGAATAAGAATCTACAGTTAAAGTATTACAGCAGGTACTTAAATTATATTATAATTATCTGTATCAGTATCTCCAAATTATTGTTGGTGTTTCAATTGAGCAGTCTGTGAATAGTTATGAATAATTTGGCTTCATTCTGTATATTTATATGCATAATATTTGGATCTATGTCACATTCATGAACATAGTATGTGTGTGTGTGTTGATTTTCTGGTTTGTAATGCTGCATGGACTTGTAGATAAATAACCTTGTTTTGGAGGAACATACTTCCACCACACTCAGGGCTGAAACCCTGCACAGTACTTGCTTTTGTGTCAAATTTATTAACATAGTGTGTGCTTGTTGATGTTGGGCTTCTGGTTGTAATTCTATATGTACTTCTAAGTAGATAACAACATTTTAGAACATTCTGCCTCCATTATTATGGCTGAAGCCCTGAAACTGTATGTTTCTTCAGTAAAGTTAGTATTTGCCTATAAGTATACACAACGTTGCAACCCAAAAGACCAACTTTGATACCTTCACTGCTGTGAGAACCTCATGTTTCATATAGTATGTACAAATTTTGAAACTGTGTATACAGTGTCTGTTAAGCATATTAATTCAGTGTTAACTGAATGCTTACACAGCTGAAATAAGTTTGTTTTTATGGTTGGTGGCTGACAGGATTTTTAATCAATAAGACAATAAATTTGTTAACCTGTGAAGATAATTCCTTTGTTTTTTCAACTGCATAGTTTATATAACATCATATGATAAAATGACTTAAATGTTAGTTTTGAAAGAATATGGAAGGACATGATTGTGATGTATTTTAAAATTCTGTCCCACCATTTGGTTGAAGGAAATAAGGAAAACTGTGACTCAGACCTGTTACCTCTGAAATGCAAAGCAGGTATGCTAACTATTCAACCACATTGTTTGGTATCAAGGTGAAAGCCATCATTCTTGAAGTTAATTCTTCTGGGGTTCTTACTATTGTGAGTTTTCGATACGAGACTTGGAATTGTCCACAAATCCTTTCATACACTTTGCTTTTAAAATTGAAACTGGAAAGTCATTGTTCATTTCAGCCTGTGAAATAGTACATTAAACAAATCATTCAGTTTCCCAAGTAAACTTTTGTAATAGTTACAGAGTATACCGTGTGAAACTCTACCACAACAGTCGTGTTGCAGTACAAAAATCGGAAGGAGGTCCTCCCCCATATAATAAATTCTCCCATCCTCACTCATGACACTGAAGTCACACCAGATGCACAAATGCGATGTATTCATGAGTAGAACGTGTGTTCATTCTTGAACATTACTTCACATAAAAATTACTTGCTGTTGTTGTGAAGCATTTATCAACGTGTATCCTGACAAGGAAGTTATGAATAAGACAGCTATACACTAACTGGTAATAACATTTTGGGATGCAGAAAGTGTTTGTATGCTTTTGAGAAGGTGGTGGACATCTGCTGTAAAGATGTTCTCCAAGCTCGTCACAAGATAATCTAAAAACAGCTCATTTGTCTTGTTACATTGATGTCACGAAAGTGTACAATTACTACTGTAGTTGGGGTTGCATTTTAAATGGAACATCATGTATTAAATACAGAATTCAGTGTCGAGTATTTTAAGCCTACCTGACAAATATCCATATTGTGTTGTGTATAGAGACAGTATTTGGGATTCACTTTCTCTGGTGATTCTGGAACATAACTCACAGGTCGCAAGATTTCATCAGCCCATGGATAAGACATTTCATAACAGCCGAAAGGGTTGTAACAATATTTCTCAGTGCCTGTAGAATAATAACTTGACATTTATATAGATGCATTTACCTGTAACAACTTTATGGCTGAGAAGAAATTCAGACAACAATACAGATAGGAGTGAATGCTCACTGTGTAAATATATAAAAGTGTTTTTTATGATGTATATGTTAATGTAGATGGTTATCAGTGTAAAAAGAGAATGCCATTAGATATTTTTATTCTTTCATTTCTTAGGTCTTTCTTTTGTACATATTGCACATTACATGTGACAGCCATTTTCTCTAAAACAAAGTGAAAATAGTTAGTATTAACTTACCAGTTTCTTGTCTTTTGCTGCATTAATGCAGTAGTACATAGCAACATTTAATCCCATACTATAGCTAATATAATGAAGCATATTGTATAGAGGATACTTAAGTATTAAGGATACTATTGATCCAAAGTCCATGGTCTTGAGAAACTAATATTATGCTCATTTAGTTAAGAAATTCCCCATCTCTTATGCAACTAGAAGGTTAATTACCATGTTCATAGGAGCCTGCCACCAGTCCCTATCAGGTTATATTTTTATGTATCTACATTTAAAGCTGATGAATACTTAAAAATATTACATAAATCACAATTCTTAGTTAAGTGTTATGTTTTGTATCCATGAAAGGGACAGAATTTTTTGACCAGCTGAGAGACTGTTAGCTTTCTAAGGTGGACTCTGGTTTATGCAGTTAGTTGAAATGGAAATAGAAAATCATGTGGAGTTAAGAAAATGTGTTATATTGTCGGTACAGGCAGTTATAGTTTTCAGTAAGTGATCAACAACTGGACAACAGACTGGAAGTTCAGAATTTCTTTCCTTGTAAAGATTGAATGTTTTCCCTCACCAGTACACCTAGAACTCTTTTCTCATTAATCATGGGGGCTCTTCCCAGAGAAAAAACAGTTGGAGTGTAAAGAAAACCATTTATCTCTACTTACTAATAAATGAAATACTAAAAGTACAATAGAGTATTGATTATTTAGAGCCTGTGGAGTGGATTATTTGCAGTCTCAGATCATCTCTGAAAAAATATAATATAATTTGTGTTAACTGTGTTTTTAAATTATCTGGGCTCCTGTGTCTCCCAAATTGTCATGGACAATTAGTGTGTATCATGTTAAGCATGGGGATGATTTTTCCGTCGCACTAATTTGCCATGAAGATAAATTTTACCCTTTTATTACCAGGTTTTTCCTGTGTGAATAATATAGTCAAAACGTTTCCTCAAGTTGCCCCACATGAGATGTTTAGAAACCTATGTCACTCCTAAATATAACTAAGCAGTATGCCCACAGAATTCCATTTATAAAAAGAGCTAATATGTGAAACACAGCTAGGTACATTAGTTTAAAACACAGTAATCTCTGTCTAGCAAAATATATAGCACTTCTTGTCAGAACAGTTTCAGCCTCAAAATTTGAATTCTTATCTTGTGCATGGTACTGCCATAATTATGTATAATAATGTTGATTTACCAGAGGAAGATTTTCATAACTTTTGCCTTTGTAGGTCTTGTTGTTTGTAATTTTTTGTGGACTTGTATGTAGATACCAACATTTCAGAGGCTGGAGGAAGTATGTTCCTCTGAATTGTTGGTGTCTGTCTATAAGTTCACATGGCATTACAACCCAAAAGATCAATATTCTAAATACTATAAACATTTCTTATTAGTTATTCTTTATATATATAAAAGCATATAACTTACTGTTATTGTTTATGTCAGATTGGAGAACATTTGTGTTGTCCGTGTGTTGTAGATTCTTGTTCACTAATAGGAGCATGGTTTGGAGAAGAACACTACTTGTTGCATTGAATATATGCATTCTTGTTCAGTTCAAGACCTTTTATAATCACTTCACAGATGTTGCATGTGCCAACAGCTCAGTAATGTCAACTTATTTAATGTTAACAGTATTTAGAAGCACACTTTTTATGTCATACAGAGACATTCAAAATTAAACTGCTACTGTGTACATTCAGACATAATCATATATGCATTTGTCATCGCTTAAGAACTTTGTGATTAGGTAAATTGATCTTTTGTATCTATAACAAGATGATTTATAAGAGAATGTCAATTTGTTACTGGCTACACACTTATGACTCAGATACACACATTCAGTACAAAGTGTAACATCAGAGCAGATAATGTAAACATATTGTGCAATGTTGTAACATGTTTCCTTCTATCCAACTTCTGGATCTTAGCTCTTTGTTTTATTTTGTGAAAGCAAAGTAAGCTTCATAAACATACATCAATAACCAAGTGCTATTGACAGAATGAACTATACTTGCTCCACATTATCATGTAATTTTTGTCTCCCTACTCCTACCACCATACTGAAGACCACATTCCAGTAGATTATCTCTAAAAAAAGTTTCCTTGCAGTAATAAATTATCACTACTCTTGCTCTTTCATACATTACTCAGCCCATAAAAATACATAATTACTATACAGAATGTTGCTTCTAATATTAAGCACATGAGTTGTCTATTAAATTACAATTCAGCTGTTATGGAATTTGTATGTATATACTATATAGATTACTGTAAAATGTAAATAATGTAATTAAATACCTAACTTCATTAGTGTTAAGGGTAGTTCAGTAACCAGTTTTTTCTGGAAAACAATAGAAGCAGGCAAAAAATATTAAATGTTGTTAACTTCTAAACAAAAGTATTGTAATAAAAGTCCCTGATAAGTAAATTAAATGAAACAACAACACTAGATCTTCCATTGAGATCCATGCACTTTCTTAGTGATGAAAAAATGATATTTATGTTTTCTTACAACTAGCCTAAACATTCCCTAAGTTGTTTCTAGAAGTACATCAACAGGAGCTTGGTATTCCTGAAAGTAAAATAATCATAACAGTAGTTATAGTGTAATGGTAGCAGTACGAGTATTAATAGTATGTATGCATGCATGTAATGTAATGTATTGTAATAAGTGTGTGTCTGTGTGCGAGCAAAATTAAAAAAGTAATGGGGATAAAGCATCCCCATTTTAGCCCATTGTGCACTGGAAAGGGATCTGACCTATATGAACTCTACTAGATACGCTGTCCATAGACATCTTAGTTAACCTAATAAGTTTCTTTGGTATTCCAAACTCAATCAAAATTCCATACAGTACCTCTCTTCTAACTGAGTCATATGCCTTCCTAAAGTCCACAGATACTTGGTGTTCTGGCCCATTATACTCCCGTTTCTTCTCTAATATTTTTCGAATGCAAAAGATCTGATCAGTAGTTGACCTATTATGGCAGAATCCACATTGATCATCCGCAATAATTTCATTCATAAATGCCGTTAACCGTGCCAGAAGAATATTCGATAAAATTTTGTATGATGTTATCAGATAAAAATTTAAACAGGTCAAACTTTCACTGAAGTGATGAAAAATACATTTTTAAATATGTAGGCAAGAAACATTTCCTCGTGATAGATGATAGTAGATGAAAGATACTTGAAAATTTATGAACATTTTGATAAAATCACTTTAACAACCAAACTTTACACAGTTAAACTGTACTCTTTTTTTCATTGTACTGAAGTATGTTCTTGCAAAAAAATCTGTAACACGCTGAAGTCTATACTCTTGTCCGCTCCTTCCATAAAATGATTGTGCTGGTACTGAACACAGAACATGAACAAAGGAAATATTCTATATTTTTTTCCTTTATGGCCATTTAAATGTTAACATATTTCTCCATAATATTACATGAATGCACATTCTTTGTTATGTGCAGTGATACATCTGATGTACCAATCAATGTCATTTGCAGCGGCAACATACATTCTGGGAAGTGCTTACTGCCTCCATCATTAGACTTCACACTGATGAAGGAGGCATCAAACACTTCTGAAATATTGATAAACGTCTGCCAGACTACAGAGCGCAACAACGTAGAAGACAGCTATCTTTAAACAGTCTTTCTTTTAGTGCATTTTTTTTACAAAGCAGCATATAAATTTTAAAATTGAGTAATGTTGTATTACTACAAAATTAATATAATTACTTATCTTTGTTAATTATAATTTATTAGAGTCCAAAGTTTATTAATATATTTTTAAAGTTCATTAATGATAGAGTTGTGTTCTCTTCTCGAACTATTTCTCACTAAGTGACATGACCTTACACAGTTGTCACTTCATAACTTACAATTTGTGTACAAAAAATGTACATGTATATTCAACAGTTATTTATTACTGTGTGGGATTTTTTCTCTTTTATTAAAGTATGGTCCACTGATTGGACTTTCGATTTTGAAACCATCAATTTACATTCAGAATATTAACCTTTAAATTTCTAGCTAAATGTCATGAACATTTATTCAGTTTAAAACTTTTAAAACACAGGTTCCATATTTTAAATGTTAAGCTTTTGGAGGTAAACAGCCTTGATCATATTTGAAACCCTTAACCTTATTTATTGAATGTTACACATAACAAGAAACTGTAACAGAAACATCATCATCATCAATTCCTGTTGTCTCTCATGGAACATAGGGCATGAACAAAGCACCGCCACCTGGTTCAGCTGATGGCCATCCTCTTTATTTCGCTCCAGAGCAATTCTAATGTACCCTGAATAAACGAGGGTCTAATTCATATACTGTACTGTCATTTAGTACTTACATTTGTCACTATGTATATGGATGATTTTCACATACATGTTTAATACATTGCATAAATGTTTGACTGTGAGTAAATCTCTAAGAACAAACAAACTTTTGTGGACTCTTCCTCAGTTGAATCTTGAATCCTGAGTAGATCAAATGAAGAAAGGGTGAAGAGGGCATGTGGTGAGTGAAGGAGATGAAAATAAAAAGGGAAAATTGGAATTCATTATTATCAATATGGATTCAAAAGGCTGTACTGCTAATCTTAATCCTAGTGATGAAAATTAGTTGATCTAAGAGACCCTCACTTATCACATTCCTTCTTACATGGTGTGGTAACAGATCCAGTCACTGAAGCATATTGAGACTTTGAAGTTTTTAATTTTTGTGTTCGTATAATTTTAAATGTCACACGGTGAATACTGTCCAATAAAACTGTAAAAAAAGTGTGCGTAAAAGAACTTTACACTTTCAAAATGATACAGAAAGCAAATGCGGCGTACTTAAAATTTGACACCCACACCAGTCGCTAGAAGAACTCTCAAAGTTGCATGTGAAGAGCACCAGGTCTGTGGACCATGGCGACTGAGGACTGTGTCCAGTGGGGTGCTACCGGCCGAGGGCTCTGTGTGAAGAGCGCCAAGCTTGGGTACCAGATCAACTCGAAGGACAGTGTGTGTGTGACATGTGTAGAGACAGAGACCCAAAAACTGTCGTAGAATAGTTGCCTGTATGTGTAGATTCTGTAAACTGATTTATCCTAAATAAATCAAGGTTTAACATAGAGCCCATAGCAATAGTTGATAGGCGTCGACGTCACAGTATTAATTCACAGTTGTAAAAATACTTAGGATGAAACAGTTACTTTTAACTGATTGCTGTTGTGGTAATTATTTATGTATTTAATGATGCTATGTCAACTTCAGAAGTTATAACTTAGTGGACCAGTGACTGAGATAGGTAGGTCTGCCTGTCGTTCTACCAGAGCACAGAAATATCCAGTTTTTGAAATGTCATATTTTGTTGAGAATACTAGATGCTGAACAGAGTGCAGAAACCTGGTAATGCCAATTGTATTATATTTAGAACAGGTTAGGTGAGGTTAGCTTCACTTAAAAGAATAGTAGAGCAGAGGGAGTTGTCCCAAATACGATTATACACATTACATAAATATTATATATTAAAATCTTTAATAAATAAGAAAATCCTACAAGTGTTTGTCATATGTTGAAAGGTTAACAATAGCATAAACATGCTGGACATGGTGGTAGTGATTATGGTAGGTATGGTAGCATATGGATGATATTTCCGCTTTTCATTTGCTGTGTGGAATATTTCTTACATGTCTAAGAATAGGCATTATAATATACATATTAAGAAAATGGTATCTATAAAAATCTACACAGGACTAAATATTAAAAAAATAGCACAAATACTACCCACAAATAAGGGAACTTACTATAGTTAACACAACTCTGAATAGCTCAGATAAATAACAAGAAAGATATAATCACACACTAAACTGGTAAAAACTGCAAATTACTCATAGTCATATATATTCTCACAGTGGTAGGCACAAAGATGACTGTCTTCTGGGTTGTGACACGGTGTCGACTGGTATGGTAGAAGTTTATCAGGATTTCAGAGGCCCTGAAATGTTAAACTTTACCAGACTACATGGTGCAACAATCCAGAAGACAGCCATCTTTATCATATATGTTGTTATTCAATATTGTGAACATACAGTATCAATACTAAAATTGATACTCAGTTGTCTGCCAGACCATCGATGGACCCATATATTATTAAGATTTTAGTGGTAACCTGGAATGGTTTCTTTCTGAATTATGAAGTATGTTTGTGTGGAGATATTGGGTGTAATCTGAATATTATATTTTTAAATTTGTTCAAGAAAGTGTTGTTCAGTTGAGTGATTCAGGACACAAATTGCCGATAACATTTTATTTATCTGTTGTGATTGTGTAATGACAGAAACGTGGAGCCTAAGTCATGGAAGCTGAAAAACATGAAACTTTTTTTCCGCAACTCTAATACCCCTCTAAATATGTTTCAGATGTTATTTAAAGGAACTAATGAATGATGTTATCTTAATTTGAAAGTTGTTTTCCTGTGAATCATAATCATGTAAATGTAGGGTTCATTCCTTGGGGATAAAACACAGGAACAAAAAAGTGACCGTTCACGTACATCTGTTACCAGTCTTCAGAATGTAAGGAGCTCTACCTCCACTTCCACATACACATTGGCTTGGTATTTAGGTACAGAGACAACTTTTTTTTATTTAAGTAGTGTTCAGATAAATCTATTTGTTATCTTCTCAGATGATTTATATTATTAATTGGAACAGTATTGAATATTGGCCTGAACACATATTTCATGGTATGATCTGCTTCTGTGCTTAATCTTACTTGTATAATTCAACACATCTGAGATATATAATTAAATAAGTTTTATATCTTCTAGACAATGGTCATGTCTATGTAGCCTTTGTAAAGGAAAATGCAAAAGGACTCCATTGATGTTCACTGGTTTTCAGCATTGATAATGTGACTGTTATAAATGTATGTAAACCCAAATGGGTTAATAATTAAGACATTTGTGATACGATAAGTACTGTTATGCACACCAATGTGATAACACTGATAAGAGAAAAAAGTAATTGTAAATTTACTTTGTTTTTCTTTGTGGTGTAAAATAGTTGACAATGGCTCACATTATGCAGTTTATATAGCATATAATACAATATTTTATTGCATTCATTATATAATAATCATAAACACATCTGCCCTCAAAGGTTGACAGTTGATTATGATTTGATAACTTTAATACCAAAACTGCTTGTGTTTGTCATTTTCATTATGAATCCTTAGAACAGAAACAACAAATATGGCATTATATGTAACACATGATGTCAGAAATAAATGAGGGCTTCTCATTTATGCTGTGTAAAGAAAAACACTCATTTTTTAAAATAGGCACGTGAATGAAGATCATTCATGCTGTGTGAATTATTTTCTTAATGTGGTACTGCATACAGACAGTCAGCTTCTCTTAAAAATGTGAACTTTGAATGGACATGAAACTGTGACAGTGTTTTATAAAATCATGCTTACAAACAAAACTGCTTACACATTAAATAACACTTTGTGCCAAATGCGTTTCGACCTCAAGAGGTCATCATCAAGTTAAAACGCGTTTGACACAAAGTGTTCTTTAATGTGTAAGCAGTTTTGCTTGTAAGCATGATTTTATAAATCGGTACACTGCACGGTATGCAAGATTTAAGATTATGACAGTGTTTTAGTTATCTCTGCACTGGACTATTCCAAATACAGTGGATTCCAGTTAATTGGGACACGTCGGGACTAGAACACCTCGGCCCAATTAAGCGGCTGCCCCAATTATGCGAATTTCCACGTAAAGAGTTAAGAAGGTTTGTTCTTTAAGATTTGTCCCAAATAAACGGCTGCCCCGATTAACTGATGGCCCAGTTAACCAGAATCTACTATATATAATATGAAATTACATTCAAATTGTAATTGCAGTTTGAATATAGAAAACTACTCTTAATCTAAGTAACAGGGAAACTGAGTCACTCAGCGGGTAAAGAAATTCCATGCTTTTACATAGGCAAAAGGTTCATTACCATATTCACAAGAATCCACTGCTGGACCCTATCCTAAGTCACTGAATGTAGTTCATGTAATCATACCCTATTTCTTTAACCTTTGTCATAAAAGAATAGGGGACTTAAATCCCTGTATTTTTGGTTTCTGACCAGACATTAATGGTGGGGTTTAACAATTTGCAACAGTCAGTTGTACTATGTGCAAGGTATGATCCAAAGTTGATAAATATTAAGGTCCACTTTAATATTATCTTCTTCCCTATGTCTAGGCCTCCCAAAAACATAGACAGTGCAGTTTTTAACATAATGTGATTTCTGAAACAGATCACTTCTACTGGTAAGTGATTCTGGTCACACAGCTCTGATTGTGAAGATATCCGTCTTCTGGGTTATTGCGCTGTGTAGTCTGGTACATCGACCAGACTACACAGCGCAATAACCCAGAAGACGGATATCTTCATACTCACCGCTGTGAGAACCTCAAGTCTTACATAGCTCTGATTGTGTTTGCTATTTTTTAATTTCTTTCCCCTATAAGGTCAAGAGATTGGATTCTTATATGTATGAGCCACACAGTATACATGTGTATTTTGTACAAGGCTGTAACATGATTTAATGCAGAGTGTTTATAACTAATAAAGGGCTGTTACTTATAACCTTCTGTTATAAAATTATTCTTTTCTGAGACACCAGTAACAGAGAATTTTAACGTACTGCACTGTCTGTTCCAGAAAACATTCAGTGCATTCAATACAGTAGCAACTGATTTGCTTTTCTGTGTGTTACACTTGTTTGTTTCTAAAAGATAGATCCGCATGCTGCTTCTGTGAAATGATTATGTAAGCATGAGATATAATTCATAAGATGTTACAGTCCAAAGTTGGATACAAAATTAAACTTTATGTAATCACAGCAGAGAAGATTATGTCTGTCCTTTATGCCAGCAGTCCTGAAGCAAAAATTTGTGGTGGCTGCATACAGTTTTAAGTAACATTTTTATGCAGATATTCAAAAACAAAAGGATCTTTAATCATTTAACAAAAACAAACATTTAGATAATTAATTTATTCAGTGTATATAAAAGGTAAAGGAAATTGTGGCATTTAAATGAAACTTAAATTTCACTTTAAGTTTGCTTACCTGACTTTTTTATTTTAATAAATCAGTCACAGAATCACTACATGCACCATTATGCAATGTCAGTGTTAACAAAAATAATTGATCAGAAATAGAATTTTGAAATTTTGTTGATTTAAAGGCATATGTTTTTGGAACAAGGTATCAACATTTTTCTACTATTAACTCAGTTACTATAAAGTGTCACATCACAAACCTTTGTGTTCATGCTATTCTTACATTATCAACTAAACAAAAACGTTGAATGAATGTAGTGAATGATTAAAATGCAACTCTTCATAACGTATTTTGTAGATGACACTTCCTGCCTCATATAAAACTTATTAGCGTGACTGCTGTAATAAAGTGGAGAAATAATATGGATGTCTTTTTGCAAATACAATGTGTAATTGTATAGTAGGGGATTTACAAGTATTGACTGAGATCCTTCATTGACTGGAAAATATTCAGTGGACACTTTCTAAACACTCTGATTTTTGTTTTTGTGTTGGTTTGAGATTACAGACGTCCTGTCCAGTTTTGTCATTAAGCATCAATGGTTTCCTTGTGAGAAGAGGTACTCCTTCTTCAGGACAGATTGTCAAACTGAAAAATAAATAAAATTTCTTATTTTTCTTGTCTGTGTAATTATTTCAGCCTTATTTAAAAGCACAGAAATATATTATACATTCTTATATATGACGTTAGTGTGTACTTCAATTATGTGAAATTATAAAGCTGTATTTGGATAGCAGCTATAACATCATTCTAAAATGACTGATGTGAAAGATAGAAGTCGTAAATATCATGTAATTCATTAAGAGTGAATGTTAATATGGGGTTTAGGGTTTTCATGGCAGTGAAGATGTTGAGTGTGGTCTTATGGGTTGTAATGGTGTACAGTGTTAAGAATGGTTACTAACATTTTGATGGACTTTATAACCTCAATCTTCGGGATAACCACCTTCAAATAATAATAATAATAACCCAGAAGACCATGACACAAAATAGTCGATATATATTTTATAGTGAAGTACATCTATTTTTCAAAGGAATTCTTTGCTATTTTGTATATTGTTTTGGCCTTGATATACATTTATTACTGTAAATATTGTTATTGTTAGAAAGCTAATTACTCTACAGATACATTACACATTGTCACAGTATTTCATTAAATAGTCATCATGCTGAAAGATATGCATGTTTAAGCTTTGCATCATAAGCCACTTTTAAGAACATTTATGAAGTTCAATTTAAATTATATAAAACAAATGTTGTATTAGACCAACACAGACCAAAACAAGAATTTCCTGACAATGTTTAGTATAGATTTCCAATACAGAATTTAATGGCATATGTGCAGTAGTTTTGAAGATATTAGATATATTCAAATAGACACAGTCTCTCTTGTATGCGTTTAGTTTGTGCTTAAGATGTATGGAAGCTATTGCAATAGACAGTTTATAATAAAATGTGCTCATGTACAACAAACCTAAAGCTCATTGCGTACAACATAGATAATGGTTTTATGGTTTTATAGAATGAACAACATTTATAGCTTATTTCATTAAAGTTGCCAGGATTTTGTTTTAAATGACATGAAATTAAGAAAAGTACAACTTGCCACACTTTGAAGTCACAGAGATTACATACCGCACAAAATTACTACAAAAAAGTACATTTTATGTACAGATATTCTTGAATTATGCTTTCGTATTTGGTACTCATCTTGTAAAAAATTAAATACCACACACAAAGAAGTATAAGATTTTAATAATTTTTAATTCACAAGTATCTATTATGCCTTTCTAAGATACTTCCAGATGGAACTCTGGCAAACTCTTGTGTGTGTATGGGTATATGTGTGCACGCGTGCATGTGTGCGTTTGTGTGTATGTACATGCACAACTTATTAAAAATCTCTTGTGCTGGTTTTTCCAGGTTCTTGGTGTGGAACTATAGTATGAAATGCATGCTGTGTATTAACGGACTGAGCAAAATGCTGGTTAGATTGTATAAAGTCATTGTAAAACACTCTAATGGAGTGAATTTATACTCACACATAAGTAAAAGTGTGTTAACTGTTGTGCAAAATTACTTATCATAAATGATTTAAATATGTTGAACATTTATCTTGTGTATATGTGTGTTTGTGTGTATACACATGATCATGAATTAGAGTCAGTAATAATAATAAAAAATTGAAATGATTTCAGGTTCTTCAGCCCTGAAGATGTAGGTAGTATGTTTCTCTGAAACAGTGACATCACAAACCAGAACGTCAACAATAAACTGAAGAATGTCTTTGAACATTTTGCTGCATTCTTCATAAAGGTGTAAGTAACTGCAATTTTATCCTATATGTCCTATGTTATAAGAAACTTTTTTTTAAATTGTGAGTTAGTGATAAAAATATACAAAACAAAATTGGTAGTAATTCTAAGTACATTTTGAGAAAATAACCAGAGTTTCAAAAGTGTTACATAAGGTAATTAAAAGAAATGGTGTGATTTGGGTTTAATATCCATGACATTTGGTTCACTTTATTTAACAAAAAGAAAAAAAAATTGATTTGTCCACCATTATAAAGAGGAACAATTTTGATATGCAGCCCCAAATGATGTTCATAATTCTAAACCAAAAAATATTGAAACTATCTTATATAGTGGAAATGTAAACAGACTGCCTTTATATAATTTCTTTGTGTGTGCCAGTCTGTGTGAGTAAATATGCTAACATAAAATATTTGTCTTATTAAAGGATACAGTATTGGTTTGAAACATTTTTTGGTATAGTGGATATCTATCAGAATTATGAAAATAAAGTGCTTAGGACTTCATGTGAAGATGTAATAATGTAATC